AGTAGAGAGTTGTGACAAAAATTAACTCTCTCAAAGATCAGGCAGTGGAGAGTCAAACATTCTTAACTTCAGTACGTACATGATTACTGCATACTTACACTTTCTATGTCTTACTTTTGCAAGAAAAACGTAACAAATACTTACAAAGCCTGCTTTATCTCAATATACATCATACATACTATATTCCACCCTGATGTTTCAAAGTAGAAAATTCCGCACCGCTAAAGCAGCCTCCTTTCGACCACAGATGGTCACCATTGCTCCTTCTCGAGCGAATAATTGTGCTGTTGCTCGGCCTATTCCAGTGGATGCGCCTTCAAAGAACATATAAAAACATGTAAAAAGCCTTGTAAAACAATTTTGCAAGCAGCCTACCAGTAACAATTACTGATTTTCCTTCAAATCGGCCCATCTCTCTAAAAACAAATTAGACTTTATGATATATTACATGTAACGATTTTGATTTGAGATTTTTTTCGTCAAATGCATCCTTTTGTTCTGGGTGATGCAGCATAAACATATTAATAGAAGATATTCCAGCAAGCTTCTAATCACAGCATTCAAATCGCACAGTGAGTAAGAGAAAAGATGATGGGAAATTTGTGATTGCTGATTGGCCGGAATTCAACCACTCCCGCAAAAATAAAATAGGCAGACTAAAATGCGAAGAGGTATATTTCGGCCACGTAATCTTGTTTGTAGAATAGCTTTGAAGCTATCTGCTATCTTTGCTCTATGCTGTTGTTGACACTGTTGAGGAACTGCAATCAGACCTTGTTGATTTGAAGACCATAATTAGAAATTTTCGGTCGAGGTGATGGAACAGATATTAGTAAGTGTTGCAACTATTATGGAGTTTGAGATCCGGGTTGTGGTCAAAAAGAGGAAACTAATAATCCAGATCTCTTACTAAGAAGAGTTGAGAGTCTTCTATCGTATCTATCTGACGGCTAAGTGTGTATACTGGGCTGTTCTTGTCGTTCGTTTTTCTTTTAACTCAAAAATGTTTTCAGATGCCGGAGGTTTCAGCAGCAAGTTATGTAACATTCAAAAGGGTAACTCTCTATCTTTAAAGCGGAAGTGGTATGTTCAACTTTCTGATTCCGTGGAAGTAATAGTAATTAAAGGTATTTCCAAAGAGTAAAAAAACTCAAACAAAAATTTATCTTTTGGAAGTGTGAGAAGCACGAAATAGGCAATAATGCTGTCTACTGGAAGCTAAAGTAGTTACAAATTGTAGTCATTTTTTTTAAATATGCCTTACTGCAGGATACGATGGGATGCGCTGCAGGTTAAACTCATTTCTTTGAAAGGTGGTCTGAATTCCAAAAAACAAACTGTCGCTCCTCTAAACCTTCAATTTCAATAACTTCTCATAGCATAGCCAAATTGATGGATAAACCTATTGCAGAGAAATTACATTATTATCATTTAGAGGCGTCTTCTTCTAAATGATATATAGTGTATTCTCAAAACTTTCGATTTCGTGAAAAGTTTTTGAGGGAAAGAAAGGCACGAACTTATCCGATAACCCGATAGCGTGCAGCATGTATGTGATCAGTGTTGAATCACTAGCAGCTATTATATTTCCGATACTTTCTTAATGTTTTACTCTGGAGAACTAGCTTGAGTTTCTTACTACTCGTAAACGGATCTTGTATTATAAAGAATAGTATTGTTAATGCAAATGAAATACTAAGATATAATTTTAATAACACTTACAGATAGATAGATGACATTTCAATCTCAAGGGACGCTAAGAAGTTTGAGGCCAACCTTAGATAATATATGGTCTATCCTTGATCACAGGGAAAACTAATACCAGTAGTAAGAAAACATTCTAGATTTAAGCATACATCAAAAGTGAAAGAACGAGTTTTACTCTATTTGACAAAACAGACCATTACAGTTTCAAAGTGAATAAGTATCCTAAATGGAGGTCAAATATACCTAAATATATCATGGTAGATACTTTCACATCGAAACTCGGAATTTATAGGAATTGTACCGATTATATAGATTTTAAAGAAAGGATTCAGTTATGTGAAACTAATAAGGATAATGGATGGGAAGAAAATTTTTTAGCCAGCGTGCTGTGCCGTCCTCTGAATAGGCCATATTTGTTGCTTAAATATGGACTAAATACGGGAGTGCATATAGAAGTGGCATTTAATACTTAGGATTCTGATAATATTATCTGCTAGGGGCTACTGCTAATTTTGGACTAGCAGATATGGAAGATTACAAGCATCTAGCCTTAGACAATATTAAATAGTCTTGTCATTGATACATACTCAAGTTTATCCCTTAGATATATAATAATAATGAATAATAAGGTATAGGTATAATTTTGTAACACTGCGTGCTCTACTGTTCAGTTCCATAAGTATACTTCACGTAATCGTTACATTACTCCAAATAAAATGACCC